GTTCTGACATGAGCGGTGGCTTGGCAGTATATTGGCATGAAATTGTGTGGTGGAAGTGCTAGACAAAGACGACCGTCATGTCGATGCTCTAGTTTGGGTGCAGGAAGGGGCGGAGCAATGGAGAGTTACGTTCGTATATGGAGAACCGCAGGTAGAGAATCGGCATCTCATGTGGGCAAAAATACAGAATTTGAAATCTGTCAATGATCTTCCGTGGTTGGTTATTGGGGATTTTAACGAAGCAATGTGGGATTTTGAACACTTTTGAGCTACACCAAGGCCGGAGTCGCAGATGATAGCATTCAGGGATGTCCTTGAAGTTTGTGGCTTGGTAGACTTGGGTTTTTCGGGGGTCCCTTTCACCTATGACAATAAGAGAAGCGACACGAACAATGTCAGGGTGATGCTTGATAGGGCCGTTGCAACAAATGAGTGGAGGAATCTATTCTCTTTTGCCTCTGTACATCATATTCTTAGTCCTTGTTCGAACCATGTGGCAGTACTTCTCAAAGGTGAGGCGGATTCAGGACCGGTTGGGCCTAAACAGCGCCGGTACGAGATTTTCTGGGAGCGGGACTCCACGCTGCCGGAGGTCATCAAGAATGCTTGGGAGTCTGTTGGAAATGTCCAAACTTTGGAGCAGCTGCGAGAGGCGCTAACCAAGACGATGGTGTCGCTTGGGTATTGGTGCAGGAAGTTCGGAAATGTAACAAAGGAGCTAGCTAAGTCCCGATCACAGCTCGAAGAGCTTATGCATATGAATGCGGACAGACGAGAAATAAGGAAAGTGACAGACAAGATGAATGATCTTTTGTACCAAGAGGAGATGATCTGGCTCCAAAGATCGAGAATTTCATGGCTTAAGGAGGGCGATCGCAACACAAAGTTTTTTCATAGTAAGGCAGTGTGGAGGGCTCGAAAAAACAAAATCAGGCAGTTAACAGATAGTATTGGGGTGGTCCACTCAGATTTCGTATCTATGGGTAAGTTAGCGAATGAGTATTTTTATGATATCTTCACAGCGGATGTTAACCTTGATGCAGGCCATGTGGTTGATCTTTTTGAAGCACTGGTCACGGAGGAGGACAATAACAAGCTGTGTGCTCCGTTTAGTGATAAGGAAATCTCTGACACACTCTTTCAGATAGGACCACTTAAGGCGCCGAGGCCCGATGTTTTTCCAGCCAGATTCTTTCAGAAGAATTGGGCGACTCTCAAGGACAGTGTGATTGCGGCTGTTAAGGACTTCTTTGGGACGGGGGTGATGCCAGAGGGAGTTAACTCCACGACAATTGTCCTCATACCGAAAGTTGCTAATCCTACAAAGTTGTCTGAGTATAGGCCAATTAGTCTGTGCAATGTGATTTACAAGGTCATATCTAAGTGTTTGGTTAATAGGCTCCGTCCTCTCTTGGACAACCTAATCTCAGATGAGCAGAGTGCGTTCATACCGGGTAGGATGATTACCGATAATGCGCTAATTGCCTTTGAGTGCTTACACTACATCAAACAGGAAAAGGATTCCACAAAGAGCTTTTGTGCCTATAAGCTTGATCTCTCCAAAGCATATGATAGGGTGGACTGGGGATTCTTGAGGCAAGTGATGCAAAAGTTGGGGTTCTCTCAGCGATGGATAGACTGGATCATGACTTGTGTCACATCGGTGAGATATTCTATCAAATTAAACGGAACTCTCTTGGATTCATTTGCACCGACGCGTGGGCTTCGGCAAGGTGATCCCCTTTCACCATTCTTATTCCTGTTTGTGGCGGATGGTCTTTCTGTGATCCTAAAAAAAGAGTGACTTCTGGTCTTATTACTCCGGTGAGAGTATGCAGGCGAGCACCAGGTATATCTCACTTGTTATTTGCTGACGATACCTTGTTGTTTTTTGAGGCAACTAGAGGTCAGGCAGAGAGCGTTAAGGAAGCTCTAGACTTGTATGGTACGGCCACCGGGCAAAGTCTCAACTATGAAAAATGTTCCATGTTCTTTGGTTCTTCTTGTCCGAACACAGTTTAAGATGAGGTTCGGCAGGTGTTGCGTGTGCAAAGTCTGGTTTTTGAGAAGTATTTGGGCCTGCCTACTCCTGAGGGACGCATGTCTAAGGGGAAGTTCCAAAACCTTCAGACAAGCTTGACAAAACGCCTTATTCAGTGGGGAGATGGTCAACTTGCCCAGCCCGGAAGGGAGGTATTAGTGAAAGCTGTTGCACAGGTGCTGCCAACTTATATCATGGGGGTTTTCAAATTGCCATTTTCAGTATGCGATGATCTTACAAGAATGGTTAGAAATTTTTATTGGGGTTCGGCAAAAGGGAAAAGAAAGGTCCACTGGAGGGGGTGGGACCATCTCATGCAGCCAAAGGATAGAGGCGGTGCAGGTTTTCGAGATTTTCGGTTGTTTAACCAGGCGCTTTTGGCTCGGCAGGCGTGGAGATTGATCTCTAGGCCGGACAGTTTATGTGCACAGGTTCTGAAAGCAAGATACTATCCAGAGGGCAAGCTTGAGGATATGGTTTTCACCGGAAATGCATCCTCTTCCTGGCAAGCAATAAGCCACGGGTTGGATTTGCTAAAGAAGGGTTTGATTTGGCGTGTGGGCAATGGCAGGAGCATACGAGTTTGGCGCGACAACTGGATCCCTAGGCCTTTCTCATATAAACCCATCTCATTGCAAGGCAGATGTCGTGTGCGCTATGTCTCCGATTTCCTGAATGAGAATGGATCCTGGAAGGTGCAGTTACTGTCGCAGCACTTCCTTGCCGCGGACGTTGATGAAATTCTAAAGATTAGAGCTTCTCCGAGGCAGGCCGAAGATGTTATTGCATGGGGGCCTAATAAGCTGGGAGTGTTCACAGTAAAAAGTGCTTATATGCTGGCGTTTGATGAAGCACATAGAGAGAGGGCGTCCTCATCTAGCTCTTCTCCAGACGGGAGTAGAGCTTGCTGGTCTTACATATGGAAAAGTGTGGTGCCTCCTACTGTCAAGAACTTTGCTTGGCGAGTAGCGACTGATGGGCTTCCCACTTGGCGGAACAAGCATAAAATTGGACTAGAAGTGTCTAGCACATGTCCAGTTTGTGGTGTTGAAGAGGAAGATAATTTTCACCCCTTTGTGCGTTGCCAGTTTGGGCGAGACTTGTATCTAGAGATGGCCAAGGTATGGAGGTTACCCAGTATTGATAATCTGACAAATAGTGGGAAGGAGTGGCTGCTAATTGCCCTATCACCATTAAGTGAAATTGAGCGAAGCATGATGCTTATGACCCTTTGGCGTAGCTGGTTTGTCCGGAATGAGATAACACATCAAAAACCAGCCCCACCATTGGAAGTTTCGGTTCGCTTCTTGCAAAGCTACCTGGAGTCGCTGTTGGCGATCAAACTAAACTCCAACATGGACCCGATTAAGGGCAAGTCCGTGGTGGTCTTGGGTTCTTTGCCTTCACCGGGCAGAACTGCATCCCCGGAGGTCAGATGGTCTAGACCGAGCACGGATTGGGTTAAACTAAATACTGACGGGTCCTACGATTCTTCTGGAGCAGCGGGAGCTGGAATTATCCTCCGGGATTCAAATGGTGAATTATATTCTCAGCCTCCAGAGTTTTGTTTTCTTGCAGAGATGCTCTGGAAGCGGAGTTATGTGCATGCATGGAGGGGCTTTCGATATCTATTCAAAGGTCAAATCTTTCTATTGTTGTTGAGATGGATTCTTCGGAGGCGGTGGCCATGATCACTTGTGCTGGCAAGGATCGATCCGTTTATGCTTCTTTTATTAATGAGATAAGATATCTTGTTAGTCTTCGATCTACTTGTATTACTTATGTTTTGCGAGTTTAAAAATAAAGCTAGTGATTGTCTAGCTGCCTTTGGGAGAGTGGAGAGTAGAATTATGACCTGGATTGGGTCAGGTCCTCCGGAGGTGGTAGAGATTGCTAAAGATGATTGTAAAGACTTGATTATTGAGTAATACAAGTATTTCCCCCGAAAAAAAAACAGTAGAAGTACCGGAGAGACGATGGCCGTCCGTCCGATAACTGAAGTCGTTCGCCTGAAGACCATATCGACACTTCTACAGTCGATCTTCAGATAGTCCATCAGGTAAACGCTGACGCCCAATCCACCGCGCAGCGTTCCCGCGCCCGGACGCCGCCAGCCCGTGCACCGTCGCGCCCGCCTCCGTCCTCGGCTGCTCGGCGCTTCGGCGGGCACGGCTTGGACCGCGCCCGTCGCACGCCGACCACCGTCCACCGCGACGGCCGACGGCGCAGCAGGCAGCACGGAGGGCCCGACGCCGATCCGCCCGCCCTAGCGTGAGTGCTCCAGCTTCTCAATTTCTGAAACTTCCCCCCAATTGAGAATAGAGGATGGTCCTTAATTTATTGTTTGATTCATTTTAGCATTCAGTAGTCTCCACCAGTGCTGTCTTCCATTGAATTTCTTTTTTAGCAGCAAATGTTATTATCTGCGATTCCTGATATATTGTAGCACCAACATCAGCTTTGCCTTAACTTCCTAGAGCTGCGCAGTTTAGTTGCCACTGCATCTTCAAGTGCTCGATGCTTAATTTTTCGCTTGTTTTTATTAATTAAAATATATACTCCTATGCATCACAGTGTCGTGTCATATAACATAACTCTGATATGCCCTGTTTTCGATGGACATCGGTTAATCTACAATCCTCGAAAGGATTCTAAGGTACTGAATATCACATGCCGTCAAGAAAACTCTAGGAATTAATCATTTACTCCAGGCGGATGTCGATCTCAATGTTGTCATTTAGAACTAGTGTACAACATATTAACACTTCGAAGAACAAGGTGATATACACCAACAAAGCTACCAGGTAAGTTTGATAACTATTCACTGCAACAGACTTTATGGCATGATACAATAGTCAATATTCATTTACACTGAAGATATAAGATACAGAAATACAGTACATTTTTTTTCTACTAGTTAACTAATCTTCAATCTCAGAAGCAATGCTCAGGGAGCACCTTAAATTTCCTCAAAGTAATTGGGGCTTTTGTTGTTTATGTTCCCAGTTTTCCTAGCTCTTCTAAGCATGGCAAGTCGTTCTGCTACCTCCTTCATCTCTGGACGATCTTCTACAACATTTGCTAAACACTTTACAGCCAGTCTGCCAATCTCTTCCAGTATGTAAGTATCTTCTTCAGTTGCAATATCTTTGTCAAACATTGCCTCTCCACTGTTTTCTTTCTTATAAACATCACAGAAGTCAACTATGAGCCTATGATTTCCATCATACACAATTGGCTTTCTGGTGATGAGTTCCAAGAGTACAACTCCAAAGTTGTAAACATCACTCTTCTGTGTTAATTGTCCCGTTTCACGGAACATCGGGTCTATATATTCCATGCTGCCTACAACAAGCCCGGTGTGATTTTTGTCCTTTGTAAGAAACTTTGATGTCCCGAAATCCGAGATTTTTGGCATGTACTTTTCATCTAAAAGTATGTTGGCTGGCTTGACATCCCCATGCCGGATGGTACGACTTGTTGATGAGTGCATATAAGATAACCCTTCTGCAGCATCAATTGCAATATCCAGTCGCAGGTCTAGTGGGAAATTAGAGAGGCGAGTGTTACCATGGAGAATGTCTTGCAGACTCCCATTAGCAGCGAACTCATACACCAACATTGGAACATCCACCTCCAAGCAGCAGCCGATGAGTTTGATGATGTTCTTGTGGATCATCTGTGACTGGATTTCCACTTCCTTGGTAAATTCCTCCTTTCGAACTTTGTTTATCTTGATGGAGGTTTTTACTGCCACTGTCGTACCATCTGGAAGAATCCCTTTGTATACTTTGCCAAAGCACCCTTTACCAAGGACCTCTGATTGGTTCTTGGTGATTTTGTTTATCTCCTTCTTTGTGAAGATATTTAAAGTTCTCACATCTCGAAGGACCAAACCTCCATTCTTCTTAAACAAGCCCTTCGTTCTTCTCCTTTGGAGCCTTAGTAGCTTCGAAAGTAGAGCAACAAGTAATAAGGAGGAGCCCGAAATGATACCTACAATGATCATGCATAGAGATATTATGCATTTATGCATGTTAATTTTGGCCACATACATAGCGAGTATTGATAATACAAAGTGGACAGGCAGTGCTAACAACTGCTTTACGTAAAAACAACAATTAGCTATACCATTTGGGAGAGTTGATCCATAATCTAAGGTATTTGTTTCTAAAACAAATGTGTGCTATATATGTGAACTGCATCTAGTGCATCCGCACTGAAACTATTGATTTCTTAAATATAGTCTTTCAAAAACATAATTTTTTATTAACTTGCAGGATATTCCTTTGGCAAGAGACCGATTCTCGTATATATAGTGAAAATAACTCCCTTATTCCAGTTAAACACAACAAATTAATATTTAAATGCCACGAATGAGATCTCCATTCGTATAAGAAAAAAGAGAAAAAAGATGTATATATACCTATGGAGATCTTTGCTGCCAGTGGGAAACTTGAAGGAAGTAAGGTACACTTTTCTATTTTGGCGTCATGGTTACGATAACCCGGAGGACAGGGGCAGTCATAAGATCCTTCGTTGTTCGCACATTCTCCCGGCTGCAAGCAAGGATACTTCCCTGGATCGTTGCATTCATTGATATCTGCGGAATGCATACATAAATAAATGATCATCGGTGTACACGACTAGTTATCGCAGAATTTACGCTATATTGTGAATTGCTCCAGTGGCATCTTTTTAAATATTCTTTTGATCCATTGCACTAGCTGTCTTACTGTCCCAACAATATAGTGATGTAATGACTGTTCTTTTTGG